TACAAATATCACCAATTACGGTAGGGGCTTGAAGTCTGCAACCAGAACAGTTCAGGAAATCAGAACTTACTTCTACCAACAGTTGAGCGGAAGATTTGAGCAAATTGCTGCACAAGCTCAAATAGCACCAAAGGGGCCATTTTGTGCTTCCATAATCTGTTTTCTGTTATATATTTAGATGGAGAAAGCTCTGTGGCAAAGGAAATCTCTTCCCTATGTATTTGTATAGACCTTAGCTGTCTGGAACTTCTTTCCTCTAGTGGGGCCTTAAAGAACTACTACAGCATAGAATAGCAGTAATAAAAAGTCAAGTTACCTAAATTCTACTATCTCTACAGTTAAAATCAGTCCTGTTCAGTACACCCAACCCAAAAAGACCTCATAAATCTAACTCAACATATATTTAATGAGAGTAACTAGTAACAAAAAGTGACAAAGGCAACAAGAACCAAATAGCTGTTCTCATTTGCATTAGCTAGTTGCATGAGACATGGCTGAGGTTCCAAAGCTGCAGTCACGTAATGGGAAGAACCTACACTTCTTGGAAAGACAGTAGGGCCCCTGAACAGTTTTCTGATAGGTATAATCACATAAAGGTTAGTAGTGTGTATCATTCAATACGCAAAAGACTACGAAGAGAAACCAGACCCACTCACGTAGGAAGTACTGAGCATAGAACAGTATTATTCATAACACGGGGAGGGTAGGTGGGAAGAGATGGGAGTGAGTTCATTGGACTGGTAAGAACATGCTGTCACTGAAATTAAATGGCCAAAAAAAAATTAAATCTTTCTGCTTTCAGGGGCTGGCCAAGGTAGCTAAGTGATAAAAGAGCAGATTAACCACAATCTGTACTAGGTCTGGATTCTGAAGAACAGACTGGTAGATTATTAAATCCATTACCAGAAATCATAGCTCTTAACTATAACTCTCCTTGCTGTAGGCTCTGATAACAAGTGTCCTTTACGTTATTACACCATGGCATAGCACTGTAAATAATTTCTATAAACAACCATTTATGTTCTGAGAATACATGTACATAAATACTGCTGTACACCACTCTTACGCAGCTCAGCCTCTGACCTGGACAAATAATTATCATCAGCCCAAGCAATGCTTTCAGAGCAGCCCTTACCTTTTGCAGGAAGCAGCTTCAGGGCCCAGGCAATCCAGCCCGCTGGCAATTTTTCAGAGTGCTCTGTGTAGCTCCCCATTGAGAGCTGTTACCTTGCTGCAGAGCCCACACAGAACGTACAAGCCACCATTTTCAGAGTAACTGAGAGGTTTGCTGTGAAATGCTCCTTGCAATTAGGCTGCATAGGAGAGAAGGAAGGAAGGAGGCCCAGCGTTACTTAGCCATACCAACAAGCAGCTAGGCCAACTATTCTAGAAACGATGTCGGTAAAAAATCACAGAAAGACACAGAAAGGACTGAGCAGAGGAGGTAAGTGACGATAAGCGATCTAGCTGTATAACAGCAGTAGATGAAGTACTAAACAGATGTACATTAAAACAACACAGAAGATGTCAGAACTAAGATTGTAACCATAACACCTAATGTGTTTATAACTAAATTAATTTGCTAAGCAAATTAGCAGGCTTACTTCTTGGAAGATGAAAAAATAGCTGTGTCTATCAGCTACTAATGCAAGAAAACTACTAATCCTGGAAGAGAAAATATAGAAGATGGAAACTGTCATCCTGAGCGGCTGGGAGTTTAACAATCTTCTTCCCATTACTGAGTGTAAGACCAAGCTAACCTATGAAGTTATTTACCTCTATCTGTATCTCATGCACAAAAGTTAGCTTTCACATAGGAATACAGGTTCATTCTCACTTCTATTCAGATTAGTGCTTATGAGTAAATGCTTAGTAATACACTATTCAAGGTATATATAATTACTGCTGTACTTTTTAAACCTTCCTTTTCTTTTTTTACCTGTATCTCTCTCCTGAAGTCCCCCTTTCTCTTTTAATTATGTTCCTCATCAGCCATGTCTACAGCCTCATGGTTCTCATATTCAAATCTGCTAAATTGTAGGTTGGGCTAGGTGATCTTGGAGGTCTCTTCCAACCTAAATGATTCTGTGATTCTGTAAATCCTCCGTCCTGCTTTTCACTACTGAAACTTTCTCCTCCTACAGTTCTAACACTTTTAAGCCAAACCACACTGGAACATCAGTCTTAGCACAGCTACAGATCTTAAGCACTTAGGAGGCGATACAAGACCTCAAATCTGAGTCACAGCTGTGCAAGAATAAAGCAAAAAGTATATTTGGGACATGGCTTGTGTAACTGCAGGAGACACCATGCTGTTTTGAATTCTGCAGGGTATTGCTCGTGCCTATCTAAGCTCTGATGGAATACATGATGAACTGAGGCCAGATCATCATCCACCAGAACAAAGTAGTACAGATAACATTAAGTATTTCTGTGGATGCTGCCATGTGCAGGTTTAGCAGCATCGCTTAACTCCACACACTGCTCTTGCTGTACTTCAAATCAGTTGGCTTTGCATATGTACCTTGGCTATTTAGATATTTTTATACTATTTCTATTGCCTACTTGCTTAGATCTCAGCATATATTTTGTCTTAGAATGATAACACCATTTTAAAAATACAAATATATATATACACACACACAATTATTAAATGCATTATCCTTTTATGTTCCTCATGGATTCAAATTACAGAAGATAACGGCGCAGCTCACAGCAAACATTAACTAAATCCTGATAACTTTCTCTGAGGACAGGAGCATGTGCTGGACAATCACTGGCTACTATCCAAGGCAAATGAGCTTTAAAGTTAGAACTTCTCGGTCAAAAATAAGAAGCGGATTAACCAGGAAAGGATTTGGATATCACAGCCTAACAGGCCAATAAAGACGGACAGTTAAATATTTTAAAAGGAAGCATCTCTCAGCAGCTATTTTAGATTTTCCCTCATCTCTTCCTGTTTCAGGACCACAAATATAAGGTCAAAAAGAACAAAAAATCCTGCCTCATTTCCAATAAGTACCTCAGAAACAGAGCAAATACAGCAGGAAACTTTAACTTCTTTTTCTATTTTGGGCATACCAATTAAAATGAAGAACAATTACTTTAAAGCCTCTGCTACTATTGGGTGCGTATCTGTTTTCAGATATCCCTAGAGAAAGAAAAATAAAAAGCCTCCTTTTCAGAGATAATGCTTTGTTCGTGAGAAGAAACAGTATTAATTAGAGCGTTAAAAAATATCCAAGGCCAAAGACACCTGACCTTGTAAAAGAATACATACTCACAGAGGAAGTGTAGTAACATAAGACCAGACACAACTCCAAGATGGTCCTTTTTTTTTTTTCTTAACCATATCAATAAACTTAAATACATACAATCTCATTAAGTGAGTTAGTCTAGGTGACTATATAATTAGAAAGCCTTACCTCTGATTCACTTCCCCACTTTCCAGAGATTGTACCATACTGTAGCTAGCAATGGTTTTTTAACATTTCCCTCAGCTCAGGAACAGAAACGTTACCTCCTTTAGGTTAAGCTTTAACCACCTGCTCTTCATCTGTGAGCTGATCTTTTCCAGGTGCAGCCCTGTGTTCTCCAGGAAAGTGGTCACATTGTCTACCATTGCAAACTACTCACACCTGAGTCTGTATTTTCTGTTTAGTTCCCCTAGGGGAACCAGGATTAGAAAGCTAATTGCTTACTTAGCTTTTCAGGTGAGAATCATGTGCTTTAAAACAACTTATATATTTAGAGTGTTCCGGAGACTTACAGTCCTGACCCTATTGTGAGTTTCAATAGCAGTAACATTTCTGTTATGACATTGAGTTATAAAAAAGACAAAGTTATTTTTTAAATATAATTTTAAAAGGGCTTTTCTTTAAGAACCTAGATGTTTGGGGAAGCTGATTCAGATCTCACAGGGAAACCTAAGCCTGTGTACTTGATAATGTGACCTTTTAAAATTAATCTACCAAGTAAGTCTGTTTAAGTTTTGGAGCTTTTCCACCTTGTCTGACTTCCTGGTACTTGTTCATACAGGTCTTGCTCTGTGAGCATGCCTGTGACTAGCTGTGACATGGCATCTTTTCTTTTAAACTAACCTTATTTTGAAATGCTTCTCATGTTTTAAATCCATCTAGACTTCCTTCTCATAAAGCTTTGGTGCCCAGTTCTCTTCTCACTTGCTTTGCTTACTTCAATGTACTTGTTTCCACAGAACTGATTAATGTTAGGTCTTGAGAGTACAGGAAGTACTGTATTTAAAAAGGAAAAACACTTCATTCAGAAGTGCTAAGTCATGAAAACCTGGACTTGGAAGGGAATGGGCAAATGCATCTTTAGACCTACATCACACAGTGACAAATACAGGAAATGGGTCTCTGCATATGTATGTGCGTATAACCTGTATGAGATTTCAGTTCTCTTATTCAGAGGCAGAGAAAATCCTGTGTATTTCTAAGCTGCTTTCTGTAGCCTCAGTATTAATTTCAAACAAGCACATCTCTATTCCTACCCAGAGATATAGTGCACAGCATTGACATCTGAATTTACTCCTTTGCCACAGGTGAAATCAGCTCATATGTGGACAGACATGAGGTGTTCAACAGCATGGTCTCCATTTGTGACGTGACTAAATTATATGGCGTTAAAGATAAGCATGTAATAACTCTCTGGTTTTAATAATAATAATAAAATGTTTTTTTCTTTGCAACTCAGTCAATGGATTTCTTACGATTTCACTTTGTTTCTTTTGACTCCATTTTTGTTCTGGATGGAAGTCCCTTGTTTCAATACAAGAAATAGTTGCATCTTCTTATTTATAATGTTGCTTTTCTTGTATGTATGTAGGTTTTTTGGTTTTGTTTGTTAACTTTTCTCATCATTTATGATGTTTTTTGTTGAATTCTGAGGTAAATATCTTGGTGAGGTCTTATCTTATGTGGTCCTGCCACAACAGGAGCCCCCCACTGGTGTGGGGATGAATTTTTGCACTAACTTACCTCAGGTGAGCGACGCTGGCTGTTGATCTGAGGTGTTCTTCACCCTTAGCAAAGGGGAGGCTTAAGACTCGGTGTAAGGGCGTTTCAGATTATTTCGCATAACATATGTGAGCGGCAAAACGCGGTGCCGGCCGCGAGATGCGTCTGCGGCTGCTATTTCACGGACTTTAACCGGCGAGGACGCCTGCTCCGCCAGAAAACGACAGGAATCCCTACCTAAATAAATAATTAAATAAATAAAAATAAAGATAAACCGCAGGCTACGCTCGCCGCTCCCTCCTGCGGGCAGGTGGCGGGTGCGCAGCACCCCCAACGGCCGCCCCTCAGCCTCAGCAACGGCCGCTCCCGCCCAACGGCCGCCCCGCTCCTCCCTCCCCGTGAGCGTCAGCGGGAATTTCCAGCCAGGAAGCCCGGCGGGCAGGGGCGGGGAGGCTGCGGCCGCTCGGGCCGGTGCCGCTCGGCTGCCCTCGCCGCTGGGGCGAGGGGAAAGTCCGGGGAAGGGAAGCAGCGGTGAAGGAAAGGGGGGGAGGCTCCATGGCGAGGCGCTGAGGGACCCTTTTCCCTTCGCCGCCGCCGCCCCGGGGCGAAAGGGGAAGGCGGGGGCCGGAGGCACCTCCCGCTTCCTGCGGCGGAGTTCCTGCCCTGGGCGCCGGCCCTCGCCGTGCCTGCGCCGGATCGGGAAGGCGGCAGCTCGGTAAGCGGTTGGTGTGAGGTGTGGGGGGGGCTCCGAGGAGCTTTGGCCGCCTCAGGAGGGCTGGGGGGGGAGGGTGGCGCCGAGCCCCAAGCCCGCTCGGCGGAGCGGCCGGTGCTGGCTCTCGGCTGGCTTGGCTTCACCTGAAGCGAAGTTTTATACCCCGGGAGATGGGCTATTTGTTGCTTGGCCATTATCTGAGGCGCTGCTGGGGAGTTAACACGCGAATAAAGCAGGAGTTGCCCCTGAACCTGCGCTGGGGAAGGCTCCGGAGGCTGGAGAGCCTCGTAACTTTGCGCTGCGCTTCGCCTTCCTGCCTCAAAATGCGCCAAGTCTCTGCTAAAAGACAACGTTTTGAAAGAAATACCGATTTTAAGACCTTAACGAGCCTGTCGTCTTTGGCGTGTTTAGTTTCGTGCGTCAGAAGTCCTCTTTTCAGAGAGAAACTGAGTATTTAGAGGGTTAACTCCCTCACCGCCCCATGCTGTGTGGCATTTAAGGTGCTACGCCACCGCTGTCAAGCTCAAAGAGCTTGAAAATACGAGGTCGAAGATACGAGGTCTTAACAGCATCTTCATTTTTATTCACGTTGAGTCCACGGGCCGCGTACTGGGAAGCTTCTGCAATAATATTGTAGTCAAAGTATCCCATTATTTCAAAAGAGAGCCTAGCTGCCCATTCGAGGAAAGCATTAGCCCAGACGTCATTCAGAGACGTCATCCTGTCTGCAGTGTTTTGTAATCTACAGAAATGACTACAGCGTTAATTGAGAAAATGAAAGAGGAAAAAGAAGCCTGTAGCGATCCAGAGGCAGGCCCTCTGTTCTGTAAACTCTTGTGGCTGGCTAATTGGACCGACACACCTGCTGAAGTGCTGCTGTCAGGAGCTGCCACGGAGCGTTTTCAAGAGGTTGCTGTAGAGGTTTCAAGGAATCTCAGTGCCGAGATACGTGCCAGACCTGCCAGCATTTCAGGTTCAATTATTTGAAACAGAAAGGGGAAAATCCTCTTTCTTTCTCCCACCCTCTGTCCCTTTTTTTTCCAAGAAAGATATGTCAATCAACAGTGCAGTCATTAAAATGAAATTGTTTCCTCTTGCGAGTAATGAGAGCGCTTTGAATAGAGTTAAGGTTGTAAAACTGAATGGCTTTGTTTCATTTCATGTCACGGTGGGTGTCTTTTAAAAAAAAAGATGTTGTAGCAGATAAACTGCGTAACTGCAGACGCTTCGTTCAGTCAGTGCCTTCGTGATGTTTTTGCAGTTTGTATTCTGGAATCAGAAAGTTTGCTGAAAAAGTGCTGGGAGAGGAAAAAAGGTAATCTTGGGAGAGGGCGGGACGGAGGGAAAGCAGAGAGTAGTACTTCATTTTTATGCATGTTCTAAAATTTTCTGCCTCGCTTATTGAAAAATAGCAATTGTTCCCAATGTTGCTATGTATTTCACTTTTAAAATACATTTTTAATGATAATTGTAAATGTACTTCCTTGTTGAGGTGGCATTAGGTGATTGGAGTAGTGGGCACCTACAAATAAATGTCACTGATTTAACTTGGCTAATTAATAGATGTTTGGGGGGATTTTAATGAAAAAATAAGTTTCTCTTCTTCATCACTGCCTTTTCCTAAAAGCTTCCCATGCCACTGTCTCAGGAATACATGCAGGGTCCAAAAATAAGTGCAGCTGGGGGTTCCTGGTACCTTCTTGTCATCACTGGTGATACTGGAAGGAGAGGAATCAAGCCTGCAGGCTCATGAGTCTTAACTGTCAGGGATTCTCTCTGCTGACTGGAAAGCTAAAGTCCCCCTTACTAGTTGCATGCAAGGTAAATGTTGCATTGGAGCTGTGAAGATAGAGTGGGAAAACAATAGACGTATATATTTATGAACTTAGAGTAGGCTTTCTGGTGCAGCTGTTGTTCAGAACTTTCTGCAGTTTTCAGAGGTTCTGTTTAATTGTTTTGTGTTTTCATGGATCTCTTCAAAACCCCCTAAAATCTTCCTACCTTTTGGTGCTGTAAATGTTTGCCAACTCTTTTGTCAGACAAATACGTCTCAATTTAGGAAATTCATTTATTTAAGCAACAAAAGGAAAGCCTAAAGTTGGTTTAAGTATTTTTTTTTTTTCAGTGTATTGGTAGGTTTTTGTTGGCTCTCAGACACAAAATAATACAGCTATTATAAAGCAAAGAGGAGAGAAAATTTCAGGTTAAATGGTGAAAAAGAAATTCAGGTCTTGGTCACTTCTGGCTGGCACAGGGTTTTTACAAGTGGAAGTTGTGATTTGATGTCCAGTAAACAAACTGTGAATCTTTTATAAAGTTCTGCATTGATAACATCATCATTACAGCTGTCATTAATTGTGCCCTTAGGTCAGCCAGGCACTAAGTTTGCATCGAATTTTGAGTGTAGAAATAATCCAGTGGATCGTCGGCAGTGAATTCATCTAAGCAGATACTCTGCCGGAGCACTGTCGACAATTTTAGAAGTAAGGCCTTGAAAGATGTTTCAAATGATTCTGGTCTCAAGGTAAAATCCTTTGTGTAGGATTTAGGTGGAGCTGACAGACCATGTGTGGGGAGGAAGTTACTGTTGCTACTACTAGCGTTTTTTCCCCTTTCAACTTTCATGTTCTTTTGAAAAGCAGTGCCAGACTTTTTTTTTTTTTAACTTTTTTTTTTTCCTTCATTTAAAACACAGAACTAGCTAAGCTAAAATACTTGTGTCTTTCGTTCGGTCCTTAAAGCAATCTGTACTGGTATTGCAGATGAAGGAGGTCTGTCTAGGGTGTGTGTGTGTTCGTGTTTTTGGGGTTTTCTTTGCTTTTAAGATTGTATTTATCTGTGCTTGCACACTTACGGACAAATTTTAGCACAAATAACAAAATGAGCAGGTCTCTTCAAGTATCGTTAGTTTAGTCATTTAGTTGTTGTTGTTGTTATTACATTATAGCCTACTGTAGAAAATGAGGGCTGGAGGAGTTCTGTTTTGTTGTAAAACACAAACCTGATAAGCCTTAGTGACCACTTCGCAGCTGGAGATTCGAGCCAAAAGGAAAGCAGAATTGGGACCTTTCCAAGGCAGGGCTCTCAGGCATAACTGCAGTGGTGCTGCCCTCGGTTTTACCTCAGTGGTTCTGCCTGCTGTGTCGCTTAGTTCATGGACCATTTCTGCCATGGTGCGTTTTCAGGGCCTGTTTGTAACCAAAGGGATGCTGAGAACTCCTTAACTTGCTTTGGTAATTGCAGTGGTAACAGCCCGTGCTATTTTCTGAGCCCTCTTTTGCAGCTGTTGGTCTTTAAATGTGGGACTGTGTCTTCAGTAAGACGCCAGAACCCATATGAAAATATCTGGTGATGCTGCAAACCTTCTGTGAACTAGACCTCTGAGATCCTGGCTGTACTGGTTACCTAGCTTCTGAGAAACACTGCTCTGCTCTCCCCAGAAAGGAAAAGGTTTGCCCTTCAATACTGATGATTCATTGCACTTCAGGCTTATGAAGTGGGTGCGTATGTGCTCTTGAAGTTAGAACTTGACTTAGGTGAACAGTTTTGTATGCACTAGAGCTATTTCTAAAGAACATTCAGTGGTTCTTTTTAATCTCTAGCAAAGAGTTACAGCATTTTAACATGATTTTTAGGTTAGTTCAAGTAACTTTACTGCCCTGTGTGGCTGAAATACGGTGTAGGTAGAGTTGTTTTGTGTCGAACCTCACTGGTTTTACATATACTTAGCATTATACATATGTGACAAACAAACTCTGCTGTATTTGAATACTGTTTATTCCTTTGGTTTAAATTGCTTTGAATATGTTTTAATAAAAACATTTTAATGTTATTCTAACACTGTCCTAAAAAAACAGTTTGTGTTTAGGGTATCATCGTTTCCTCTTGTCATGTTAGTTTGCTACTAAAGTAAATGATTAAAATACTTCTGGAAAAAAATAAAAAAAAAAGTCATAAAGATACTTAATAAAAGAGTCATTCACATAGACCAGTTAGTATTTGCCAAATACAGTTCCTCACACTATCCTTTTTTCTTTAAATATAGGGTCATCTGGGTCAATAATTCTCACTCTGGATTTCCTACAGTAATTCTGCACCAAAATTTTTTGATTCAAAGCATCACACTCATTTGAAATCTTAATTCCTGTGCTCATTTTCATCTCCTAAGCATTTGGCAGTTTTTATCCTGTTGCCCAATAAATACATCTTTGAAAATATTTTTAAAAATTAAGTTTTTAATTGAGAAAATGCACGCAACTCCCAGGTCCCACCCAGGAAATAATAAGGAACAGGAAATAATAAGCAGACCTAATTAATAACAAGAGGAGGCAATGTGGGCTAGAGGAAAAAAACCACAGGTCCTGTAGTGTCCTTTTGTGTTAGGTAATGTTGCTGAAACAGTCTACAGATAAATCCGCAGAGGAAAGCAGTGTCTGTGATTAACAACAAAGCAAAAAGCCTCTGCACAAACCTTTTCTCACTACTGACAGCTTATACTGAAATCTGTATTCCTGGCTTATACCTCTGTGTATTAGCTGAAGGGAAATAAGCAATACAGCTTACACGTGCTGCTTTGGCAGAAATTGATGAACATTGATGATTTTTACACTGAGAACAGTTCCCTCAGAACAGCCTGCCCACCCCCAGTGTTGAAGCAGTAGGTGGGAGAAGAAATATTAGTAATTTTGTAACATTAAAAGAAAACTTCAAATTTAAGTCCATTTTGTTGCCTTAAAATCCATTTAAAAACATAAAATAAAACTAATTGTTTGGGCTTCTTGTCAACACCAGCAAGCCAGCAATTACTTTGACAGGTTTTAAAATGCTTTTTCTTTCCTGTCTGTTTGACATCTGTACCAATAATGTGAGTGAAAGTATGCCTGATGTTCCCATAGTATTTTGGTTCTGTTTCCTTGGCATGTTGCAGAACCCTGTAGCTGTTAATCACCCCTGGTTTTGAATAATCCAGGGGATTGCTTTTCTGTAGCACACTTTTTTTT